CACTTTCAGCACACACACACACACACGGAGAGATATGCGCTGTATAGGGCGGCGAGATGCGACTGGACAGCTTCAGAAGCAACAGGCTACTTTGCAATTCACGGCCGACTCGGTCCAACCGAAGCCGAAGCCATGCTTGTGCTTTGCTCCGAACCCTTAAATCTTGAGACAGGTACTCACCTACTTTAGTTATGAAGAACGCCGCTGTTGGTCACTCGCCACCCGGCTGTCCAGATCGCAGAGGAATGTCAAGGAAGATGATTTCGCGTGCCAGCAGGGGAAATGATTGATCTTCCCTACATGGTTGTGGGCGGCTTCAGGCATGGTGACTTAGTAGTCCTGCAGCTCATACTACGTATTGTTTGTGACACGAAGCCTGGAAGAAATTGTTACATTCATGAATCCGGACTGGCTTCTCCTACAGGCTGTTGGATGATGTAGTCGCCCAGCGGGTGAAACTGCCACATGCTGACTCCGTCTCCTTTGTTTTTACCTTTCGTTCTCGTTCCTAATTATGGGGAATGTTTTAGAGTAGCGGGTAGCGTCTGAGTCTGGGGCGTAAGGGGCTACTTCTCCACCAGCGACGAATCGAATGTACAGGCGGTACAAGCGTTGGGCGTGTTTTCTCCACAGTGTGGAGTCGCATAGTTACTTGTCCTCGACTACACATGCTCCACATGAAATTCTCGGTTGTAGGGTCCGAATTCGTGGTTGAGGTTTTCTGTAGACAGTCCTCAACAGTCTGTTGCTTCAAGGTGAAGTTCCTGCTGCAGATGCATTTCCAATCAACCAAAGAACTAGCCTATCTCCCACCACTACATGCAATTACTTTCCTTTTCACAAGTCTTGCTGAAGCTTACGACATGAGGAGCCCGGCAAGCAGTTTCAGCGATAAGCTCAAGAGGCTGTTTCTTGTTGGGTGTTGCACTGTTATGCTCGTCAAACTACGGTCAGCGAACTTTCGTGCATGTGCTTTTAGTCAGTGGATGAAGCATGGGGGGGATGCTCCAGTTAGACGAGAGGCTCGTTCGACTGTGCTTGACCACATCTTATTCCGTGCGTTGGAGCCTAACAGTGTAGCACTGTAAGGTCTGATGCTGCGAAGCACCGGGTGAAGAACCAATGTGCGAAGATCGTGGGGAACCCCTGGTTCGAGCGCTTGGCGCTCACGATGGTCATCCTGAATGCGGCGCTTTGGTTAATAGTGAACCAGTTTAGCCTCTTCGGATACAGCAAGGTCAATGACAGTATTGAGCAGTTGGCGTATATGGTTGTGGAAGCCATAATTCGCGCGACTCGAAGCCATAATGCTCGCTCTTGTCCACGTCGCACACGATTATATAGCCAAGGTGGCGAAGCATGAAAGAGCTTCAGATGAGTGAACAGCGAAACCGCAACCCATACACAAACCGCAACCCATACACAACATTCAACAGCGCCTCTCATCGCCGCTCTGTGTTTTTGGTCCTTTGTGTTGTGGGCTTGCTTGCCGGGTGACCACAACTTGTTGCTCGTATTGGCCTCTGCGTGCATCCGCTGCAATGGAATTTGGACTTGGCGTGCGCGACATTCGGGCTGCAGCTTGCAGCCACCTTGGGCACACGTGGCAGCGATAAAGCCAGCGACACACGGACGGGTAACACTGCAACACTGTAATACGATTACCAGAAGTGTTCAAGTCGAAGACAATTTCCACCCCAGTCCACAAGCTCCACGCACACCTGCAGGTCTTGTCCGCACGAACACGGCTGTTGCAGAACACATGTCTCGTCATCAATCCTTCGTGCACCCGAAATTGCCAGAGCCACAAGCGAACCATTCAGACTGAGCTTTTTGTTGAGGCGCCGTTGCGTATGTAATCTGCCATACCAGGTCCATCATGGGTCGTCCTACGCATGTGCCCTTTCGTATTTGGGGGTCTCCTTGTTCAAGCTGAGGAAGTAACCAGCAAGAAGGAAAATGGTAGCTCATTATGACGGAATGTACGTACGCAGCCCGAACCCTAAACTCCTAAAACCCTGAGACCCTCAACTCTACAAGCCCTAAACCCTAAACCCCTAAACCCCTAAACCCCTAAACCCTAAACCCCTAAATCCTAAACCCTATAACTGAGACGCTAAAGCCGAGGTGGAGATGGCAATGGATGTGGAGCTGAACCGAAACCTCTTCGGATATCTCTCTGGCGCTTCCCCGGTCTTTGCCGTCACGCAGAACTTGTTCTGCGTATTTTTCCTGACGGAGTTGGTCCTTCGAGCCCTGGACTGTCTGTGTTCATTGTTGGGTTTCGATCAGCTGGGTCGATATTGCAATTATGAAGAAGCTGTGTACAGCCAGCATCCTGAGTTTGAAACCAACCCGTACAGACACAGCAAGGGACGGACCTCTTGAGCATGTGCTAGTAGAAGAGGCCACAACCACACGCATGTAACGAGCTGGACCTTGTGTGCTCTCAAGCATTTAGAACAGCTCAGAATGCTTTCAAGCTCAGTGCCTGCCTGCTCTTCATTTCAACATAGATCGAATCGGAGAAGTTGTGGATATTTGCAAGCTCAACCTCCGGTTTTGCAGAGTTCTTGATCCCCCCCCAATCTCCAACTCCACCAAGGATATTTGGGGCATGGTGGCCTGCGACAATCCCTCCAGGATGGCTGGTTGTGCTTCGAGACTCTGCTCACCCTGCTGATGGTTCTGGAGACCTGGGCCCCCAGACGCAGAGAGTGGAGCCCCTTTTTCTGCCCTCCTGGAATCCTGGAAGGGTCTGGGGATTTAGTCACGGCTTATCCACCCTCTCTGCTTTGAAACTTCCTTGAAGCGTGAAGTAGAGATAGTAGAGCAGTTTTGTCACTCCTGAGCCTGAGCTGAAATCAGCGAACACTTCTGCCAGCACGGATACGGATTTGTCTTCCGTTATGTGCACAGCCCCAAGTCCCAGAGGTCTCAGATGTAACTTGCCGTGGCAAGAATAGTGCTGTCAAAGATGAGGCTGAGATCTGCAGGTTGGAAAATACTGTAACATATTATATAGTATATACACTATAGTAACAGTATTTATGTTGCGCTATACTGTTTCATTGCTATGTGGCAGCACATTCTGAACTCCACAGTCTACAGAGCGGCAGCAGTGCTCGCCAACGCAACCACGACCGGAAGGTGTGCGGCTTCATTCGGGTTCTTGTGCCACTACTGAGTTACGAACTAGTAACTAGTACCTGTGACTCTCTTCTGGCTTTTTGGTCGTGCTACATGCTGCTGTTGGAGTGGCAAACGGCCAGATCGGCTCAATTCTAGAAGCTAGGAGTGTCTTGAAGCCTCAACGCTATAGAGTTGTAAGTTGTAAGATCTTGATGGCCGAAGACAAGGAACACCAAGAATATTTAAATTGTGTTCCCGAAAGCATTCTGGCAGCATTCTATAGTATAGAGTCAATGGAGAGACGTGTGGGAGCCATGCCCGGTGCACTCTGAAGGGTTGAAAACATGAAGTCCCTACAAATAATTCTTAAGGAGACAGCTCAAGTTCCGTCGGTAGTGGTATCCCCGCAGAGACTTTCTCAGTAGGGATATGCTGTTTTGCTAGCCAGAATTGCAGACGTTAGTGACCAAGCACTTACTGAGGTACTTCCAGCTCTGGAAGCATTGCAATTCACAAGCCTTTCCGCTACCGGTGCAAATGCTGCGAGCTCGCTGCGCTTTGCACGAGTCCTGCGCGTTTTGCGGACTGCTCCTGAGCAGAGAATTTTTGGGGTTCAGACTCTTGCAGTAGGTTGCCCTGGGGGTTCTTTGCAATCAGATCCTGTGGTTCCGGGTATTGCGTCTCGTGTATTGCTGAAGCTTACATATTGCGAGCCTGTGTTTATTCGGGGGCAGCAGGCTGCTCCGAACCAGGACAGGGTGCTCATTTCCGTAGGAGCATAGGAGTGCAGGGGCACAGACATTTCCTGCCCAGCCGAGAAGGCAAGGCAGTGCACTTTGATGTAGAAGTATTGCCATCATCAATGTCAGAAACAACAGTATGCTCAAATGAGAATATGGCGTAAAGCAGCAATACTTTTTGTCATCACCAGCAATAACGATGAGTGATAATCACAACAGAAACCAGACATAATAGCTCTCTCGGCGATACCCGTAACATAGAGGCGTCAATAGTTGGAATAGGGTTTGGGGCTATATTATACTAAAATTAAAACATCTTGCTGTGACCAGGTCCGCCTCGCAACGTTGCCGCAAAGAGCGATCCAGACAAGAGTCTTCGGGGTTGGGCAAAGGGTTTCGGGTTCACGTGCTGTAGATTTTGGGGTTCAGGTTTGAGGGTTTTATAGAGTCTATAGGTAGGGTTTAGTAGGTACTGTCTAGGGTCGAGGCAGTTAGGGTTGAAGGTTTAGGCTTTGGGGCTGTCTGCATGCAAGTCATATGCTTTCAGGGATGCTTTCGAGGTGCCAGCCTTGATCAACCGGGAGGGTTGCCAACAGTGGAGAGGCTTTCTGAGTGGACTTCTCTTGTGACGGTGAGCGTCGAATGCCATCTCGTGTCAGACTGACGCTCTCTAGCCACACACACTACAGCAATAAACCAGGCTGAACCCGAAACCCTGATCCGCCAGCCAAGATGAACCCAGGCAAGACTCGTGAAGTTCATGCCAGAATTGATGATTTTGATCAAGGGCATGATGGTTGCTTGCCGATCAGTGTTCTTCACGCTGCTGCTTCTGCTTATCCTCACCGCACCACGGCAGCACGAGCATGGAGCCCGTCGACCTGGAGCCATTCCTTAACCCTGTGCATCTCAAGTTTTTGGCGCAACAGTAGACAACACCGATGTCTGGCGCAGTTTCTTTTCCCCAGAATGCGGAGTGCAGAACGTGGGAATTCACACAGATGCATGTAGCAGCAGGGCCAGTAGCACTCAAAACGCCCACACTCAGGTCATCTTCGGTATCAACTTCATGGAATTCAGCCGTGGCACAGCTCTCGAAGCTCTCTACTTCGATACGCTGTGGAACACTGTCGGTACGCTGTTTCTCGACATGATGTGCCGGTTGTGCAGTCACGCGCGCTCCGAAAGAGCTCTTGCAGTAAGCTTGTCTACTAGTATAATTGACTTGGCGGTGTCCCTGCTTAGCGCTTCGGACAGATTGAGGCTCATCTGACTTTCTCTTTAGTTCAGGCTCGGGCATACTCAGTCAAGACCTGTAGAACATACAGTGGAGTGCAGATTACAACGTGAGAGCGGATCGTGATCCCCACGGATAGAGCCACACAGCTTTCAGCTGAAGGATCCTCCACTGCATCCTGCCCGACCAAGAGGTGCGGGGTCAGTAGAGGACCTGAAGATGCATAAGGGAAGGCAGTGTCTGTGGTCTCCTCGCCCTTTGCGAGAGTTGGCTTATTTCAGGCCTTGGCCTTCGGAGCTTTCGGTGCAACTAAATGGTTTGGCTGTTCAGTTCGGCATAAGGAGAATGAAGACAGTTGAAGCTCCAGTTCTCACTCAAGACGGGTCAACCCCGCATGATCATGAAGGTCTTCTTCCGCTCTGTGGCGACGGAGAATGAACCTCTTGCCGGGTTGGTCTTGCTCTTCATCCTTCTGGGCTCCTTCACTGTCGGACGCTTACTAAACCAAGATCGCTTGCTGTTGCGAGGGCTGCGGTGGAGCCGAACCAGGTCATGAACATGCTCCTGGGTGTCCTAGTGGAAGCGGTCAAGACGGTGACCCTTATCGAGCGCGAAAACCTGGATGCGGAGGTGGCACGAAAGGCTTCCCGAATATGCCTGTTGCAGAAATTTGGACCTCATTTCTCGAGCATGCCAGCGTTAATGGTTGTTCATGCTCGCAAAAGTAGCGGAGGCTGACTGTGTCCGCAAAAGCATTTTTCTAACTTTTTGTTCGAGGTTTTGTGGAACATGCTGGAGAAGGATGGATCTGAGGATGATGAGCGCTTAATCACTCGCAAGGCAGTGGTGGCAGCTGAAATTCGCGACTTTGTGAATCTTAGGAAGCCCCAGAAAGCCCCCGGAAAAGGTCGTTTGAAGAAGCCTCGAAGCGAAGTTGAGTTCGGGTGGTTTCCTGAGGGCGCCGTCGCTCATCTCCCACGAAGTGGACACACAGAGACGCCACAAACGCTATCATTCAGCAATACAGAATCTCAGAATAGATGACGGGATGCTGATTGATTTCAGGAATGTTCCTTGCCTAAGTGTCTTAAGTAGTAAAAGGTTGTTGGCAGTCTCCGGAATCTCTAGAATCACCGCACGGAATAGCCTCCCTCAAGTGCGTAGTGGAGTCATTCGGTCCGATACACCAATCCCCACTCGAAGTGTTCGGGTAACCGGCGAAGTGGAAGAGCTGCTTGCCCGCCTATACTAGTGTCTATCTCTGGCGGATCGGGCTTGCTGATGCTTCAGTCGTTGCCAAACAATCCAGACCTTGGTTTTTTTTCAGCTCTTCTTAACGTTCTGCCTTTTTGGAAGATGGTCTCTGGGCCGGGGCCCTAGACTGCGGCTTCAGCGCACAGCTTGGGCAGGAATTTGAGGATTTGCTCAGCAAGAAGAAGGCCGCGAAGGCGTTGGTTAGTATCGGAGTTGTGGCTCGTCCGCTTCAAGGCATGCTGGTGGCTCGTAAGTAAGCGTAATCTGCGTATGGTCCATTACCGGCAAATGCAACATCAGAATCGAGAGAGGCAGACGGTCTTTACACCGAAAGGAGAGGTTTTGACGCCACATAAGCCACGACTCCCTGACACGGTGCAGCCTGGTTAAAGCTGATCGTGCGCTGAATCGCGCACTCATGGGCGCTCTCTGCTAGGATGTGATGGCTGCAGCAGACATTGGCAAGCTGTTGTTCGAAGATGACGAAGCGATCTTGTTCTTGGACTTCATGCCATCCGGCTGCATATTGCGCGAACTGCGCACTGGCATCAGACCGAACGGTTCCACGATCCAGATTTCCCTGTTGCAGATGTAGCCATGAGGTTGCTTCAGGTCTTTGCCTTAGTCTCAGGCTCCGTGAGAGGATGCAAGGGCAGTTGTGGTCATCATGGTAGTAGGCTCAGTTAGGCTTGATTGTACTCATCATCCAGGGAATGGTCTCAATCGTAGGTGGAACAGCAAACGCAGTGGAGACAGTAGTAGTAGTAGTAGTAGTAGTAGTAGTATTCGTTTTACCCAGAAGAAGCATCCCATCAACACCGCCGTCATCATCATCATCCTCATTTCAGCACCAGAATCATCCGAGTGCCGAGCACGTGCTTTGTTGTGGCCAAGGTCTGCCATGCTCACGCTGCGAGGCTCCAACAAGACCACCGTTAAGGACCTTGCTCCGATCTGCGAATTCGATCGGGCTTCGCGTGATAAAGCGGCCGTAGGAAATACAACCCTTTTTACGGTAAACCGGTAAACCAAATAGTTGCCGCATACGGTTGAAAGGGCTACGAAATCTTGGAAAGAGCTATACCCACCGCTCCTGCACGTGCCTTTTGCCGGTAATCTTTAAAAACTTCCACCAGATTCATCGGAGGATTGGCAACCTCACCAGTTCTTCATGCAACCGTTTGGGTTTCGGTGGAAGTTAAGGAAGTAGTGCACCGCAGGGAATATGACGGAATAGCGTGGTTGCCGGTGCACTCTGCTGCAACCGCAGTCCAGCACGATGTAGACGGTACTCGCACCTTTACCGTGCGAAGCTGGGCGTGGAAGCTTCGAGGACATTGTCGAGCTCCGTAAATGGGTTGCGGAAGAGTTCTTGAAGGTCCACTCGCTGGTGGGTCATTTGGCTGACATGGCACAGCACACGGCCGTGACCAGGAAACTAGTCCGAGGAATATATGTACCTACATGCATGATGCGTGTTGTTTTGCTCGTGTCTTTGTTGCATATACGTATGTAAGGGAGGATGGATGTATGCATGGACGTGTGTGTGCGTGTGTGTATGTGTGTATGTTTGTGTATGTATGAATGTATGAATGTATGTATACATGTATACACATGTATACATGTATACATGTATACATGTATGTACGTATGTATGTATGTATGTATGCATGTATGTATGTATGTATGTATGTAATGCATGTAATGTATGTAATGTATGTAATGTATGTAATGTATGTAGTGTATGTAGTGTATGT